GAGAACCTTAATATGTGCGTCTAAAATACTTGTGCGATTTAAATAAAAATATAGTTAGGAAGTTTTTAAGTTTTGACGTTATTAAAATACTGTAACATTACTTAAAAGATGGCTATGTTTGGTATAATGATTAGCGCTGCTGGTTTGCCGTACGGTGGGGCCCTCGTTCGATTCCCGAAGGAGACCTTGATGTTTTTAAGTGTCCACTATAGGAACATTTGAAATATTAGCGAGTCAAAATCTTCTCGAGAGGTCTCATGGTAAGGTGACAGATCCCTCGGATCCGTTCCTCGGCTTCCCTCCATTAAAATTGGGGCGTAACTTTCCCGGTCTCGTGAGTGTAAATTTGGTCATCTCTTCTAATGCATATTGGGCAATATTCTCGGAGATGAGATGACTAAATGACTGAGGGGTATTGGCCGTTTCTGGCAAATGCATTAAAGTGCTTAGCCATACAAATAACAACAACATTATTTAAAAGTGTGAAGATTCATCATTGGCAGTGCGGGCAAAACTACTGAATGTTCGTGATTTTATTTCCATCGACGCTGTCTTTTGAGAATTTGATATTGTTCTTGGTGTTTGTTATAAAGCGTGATCCACTTTATCCCATGAACACGATCCTGCATATTTGCCTCTCAAAATGAATTCTCAGTTAAAAAAATATTTAGAAAAGGGATACCTTATCTGAGAAGTTCAGGCTAACATTAAATTTTGCATTATAAAGTTTAAAAAAATTAGCATTCTCGCGTATAATGAAGTTTTAAAGCATAAAAATGCCTACAATGATTTCGCTCCTCTCCTTAAATAAAAGTACCTATTGTTGTTAACTCTCGAAACTAAATCTTTACTGTAAAATAAAATCGACACCAAATTCAAAATAGCATTTCTACTTTTACAGTATTGTATTTTGTACAAAAAATCTTAATACGGATACTGACAGATTCTTCTGGAGAAAGGGGGAAAAAGAGACTACGAACTTTGTATTCAATAATTAAATTGTAGTAAATCTATTTACTTTATTTTATGATCTTCTTAATTATTCTCTTTGCTTATTTTATCGTCAAATGCAGTATCCGATGCAAAATATGTATCAATGAATTGTCCAAGTCATCGGTATGTACCAGTCAATAGAAAGCTAATAGTTTTTTTCCTATAGAATCAAAAATTACAGGTGGATTTTCAATAATCAATAATATGGACAATTATAATCTTCCATCTTGTTCAAGGATCAGTTCTAATGTGTGACGATGATGACCTGATCAATGCTGAAGTCCACTATTGAAGGATCAAAATTAATTTCCTCGTCGTTTGTTCTAGGATCAACATTAATGTGTGATGTCTTGCTTTTAACCGCGCACATCTATGGCCGAACATTGTCTTTATAGATGCACATGTTCGTTTACTTTCCATGCACGGTCAGCTGTAAGGTATCGATCGACATATACACATGACGATAAAATAATGCAATTCCCAACTATATTCTTAGCACAAATGAGAGGAAACATTGGTCAGCATCAAAATTTTAAAATTTCTCATATGGCTTAACGTAGGAAAACTGTAAATCTGAAATGTCTTTCGGTATGGTTTACATATTAATGTAACCCATACCGATGGACCATACCGGGTATAATGTGTTTTTATAAATAAACTGACAGGTTCAATTTGAAAAATACATTCATTTCCCAAAGTCAAAAATCCCGTGGAAGCGGAAAAAAATACGAATTCCCTCGTAGATCTTCGACTTTCTTCTACCTTATGTGAAGGAACGTCTTGGACCGGAAAGTGAAAGATGAAAAAAAGAAACTAAAAGTTAAAACCCTATCCCATTATAGCCTGTATTGAGAAATGGCTAAATAAAAAGAGAAGTAAGCCTACATACAGGGGAGTGAAAAAAATCTTAAGTGGAGGGAAAGGAGTGCAGCAATGCCTGCAGGCTAGAGCGTGGGAATTTTCTGTTCGGATAGCGAATGGCGAGAAAAGTAGTAGTAGCAGCTACTAACGATAAAAAGCAAGCGGGCAGGTGTGGCGACTGCGGCGCTGATTGCAGTGCTTAGTTGCGCCAATTAAAGTTCGCAAGCTGCTACTTTTGGCGAAGTATCATCAAAATGGACGATTTATTCCAGCTACTCGGAGAACAAAAATGAGACAGCCATCTTACCTCAGGTAGACAGTTTAGCTGAAAATATCTAATCGGAAGACAATGCATAGACGGAATTAATAGAAGAACAAATAATATCTGCATTTTTAACTGCAAAAATTCTCAGGTGAAACTTGCATTAGCGTTTTAAGAAGTGCATTCCGAGGTCACACTGCAGCTACTTTTACAATTTTCCCAGCAGCCGTTAAAATTTATTTTTTTTAAAGCAATAAAGAGTAACAGTTTGAGGTTGAATTCGGATTACTAAGAAATCGTTTTGGGGTGTTTTTGATAATACAATTAGAATTTTTTTGTAAGAGAGAGAAGTTAGAAAAAGTATTTATTCTTAGTATTCTTACACAGTTTGGGATGCAATAGGAAATTACTCACCGATGTTTTTGTGATATTGATAATTTTGATCTTAGAATCCTGGTTAAAAAACATAATTCCAGTTATTCCAAGTCATGCGACATATTAAGAGTTTTTAGTTGTGTTCTTGCAATTATAAGATCTTTTACATCATGACAGTATATCGCTTACCAGTGCGGCAAGTAGATGAGACATTTACAAGCACTATCTTACCAGTAAAATTCTTAATAATATTTTGATATATTTGAACAGCAACATAGTTCGCATACTTATATTTTAAACTGTGATTTATATGCACTGATTTTTGGAAGCATTATGATCATTAATATGTAAAGTGAAAGACATCTCTAATTTCATTATGCTCTATACTTTTTCTCTATATTAGCTATTTTATGCTGTCCTTTGCATATATCTTACTTTACTTACTTATCTTATATATTACTTAATATATTTGAGAATACTCAAATTCTTTATCATATTTATAGACATAAAATATAATCTAATAATACAGGTTCCCAATATTTCAAACCTGCTATCTCCTTGATTAAATATTACTCAAAATCTAAATCTATTTCAAGACAAAAATATTTTTAAGGGGGAGGGAGGATGAATGTCTTCCCATTTTTACTCTTTTGCTGGAACATCTCAGTTTCTTTGAAGAAAATGTCGTGCGCAAACTCAGTGCGTTCTTAAAATAATCCTTCGTGTGAAAGTTTATTCAATTATTAGCAATTCTGAAATTCTTTCCTAAACAAAAGTAATTGTTGCAGGGGGGGGGAATAAAATAATACTTTTCCTGCTTAGCATTTTCTGATCTAGCTAAATTTGATATCATTCAGTGTTACTTTTTTTTGCCTTTCTGCACCACCCCCTTTTTTTTTTGTATGCGCATTAATATTGTAGTGCTGTGATGTTGCTATGTAAAAGTAGTAAGTATATCGTTATGCTATTAACATGCTGGAATATTGTAATAGTGAAAAATTAATACATGGCATAATCGGTACGGAAAAAGAAGAAAGTAATTACAATTTTACTTACAAAAATTTAAAAAATTCAATGGATAAGAATCAATTACATTTTGATTTTTTCTGATCTGTAGTCCTATCTTTATAATTTTCTTATTTTGAATACAACTATTACACAACATTAATAGGATTTTTTCTCTTAATAAATGCTTCGTATTGATGTATTTATGTCAGAAAATATAAGTGAAATACAAGAAAACAGTTTTTCAAAACACAATAAGCCGAATAAAATAATAGCAACGAATAAATTAATATATGATATAAAAATGAGGAGAAATTTAAACTTTCGTGATTTTATTTTATTTATTTATTTATTTTATGCAATGCTGCAAGCATTGGATACACCAGCAGTTCAGCTTATTCCCTCTATTGAAAAATCTTAACTTGAAAACATACTGTGTGACAATTTTTATTTTGTGTACCTTTTAATAAATGCGTAATTATATATGCCTTTTTTTTTAAATCGTTGCATTTATTGAAAAAGTATGTTTCACATTTTGTGGTTTTATGATAAAAGTCATTGCAAAATTAGATTATCCTTGACTCATTTGCTATCTTATTAGGACTGTTTCTCGGAGCGAGAAAGGTAATGAAATCTTGCATGTTTTAAAAATTGTTGTAACAAAAATGTGATAAAATATGAATATGTTCATTCCATTGCGTGCACCCATTTAATAAGTGATTGCCGCGTGCGATTCTTTCTTTGACACAACGCAGTCGTTCGTTGCTCACCTTATTCTTCGACACGAGAGAGAGAAGCGAGAGGAAGAACGTGACAATGACAAAGAAAATGCAAGTAAAAAATCATCTTTCTTCCCTTCTCGGTTTGGCGCCAGTTTCGCTCGCCAATCCGGCGCCGTGTTCGATCGTGGGTCGCTTTTTCCGACAAGCTCCTTCCCAGAGCGGCCCAATCGGTCGTGTTGAGCGGATGCGACGCATTTTCTTTTCCGTATCCCGTTGCCATGGAGACGACCAACGCGGTGCACCCCTCTGGGAGATTCCGTGCGGATGTAGTACCGTCGGCATCATCGAATGGCTGCGGATCGGATTATCTCGAGAAAACCACAGTCGTGATATGACGGAGGAGCTGTCTATCCGCATCCCAAAATCCGCGATTATCCGCATCAACGGTTATGTCTCCTCACTGCCGGAATTTCAGGTGAGCCCGGCCGAGGCGGACTCCGGCTGGATGTGAAACTAAAAAGACAAAACGTTAGCAAATACAAAAACTATACGAGTATTTTTTTTTAAACAATAATTCAGGCAATACCCATCTTTGCTGCACACTTTGAATATGTGAATGTGAAACTGTGTTCTTTTATCGTGAAGCAAATGTGAATACTTAACTGTGCACCGGTACTCTTTCATTTTAAGGAAAGGGGAGGGATTTTGTTCGGATTATTGGTGTTCAACATGATGCTAAGGAGAGTGACTTACACAAAATACGACTGTGCTGTACTTTACAGGTGATCTGTGATCGAGAAGGAGGTGACTAGACTGCTGGCCTGGACGGTGCCGGGCCATGGGCACATTGTGTCATAACTTCATCACTGCAACAGCCACCTTATTCCTGATTGTCTATGTGGTGAACCTCCAAGAGGTAAGAAGATATTTCCTTTTACTTATCTGCTTATCTCAGAAGCTAAATCTTGCATGCATTGCTGTTTTGACAGGTGAATTAATTTGGATATGCAGCTTGTTTATTCCGAGGAAAGCAATTTGATGTTTAAGTAATATTTTTTTTTAATTTGCAAATTTTAGCATGGGCAGGAATCTTGGGATATCATGCAAAGATTAAACTGAAAATCACATTTCCGGATTAACTCTAAATATTTTTGCAAGGTCGAATTAATCTCTATGAATGTAGGTTTTTAGAGGCTGAAAAAAATAAAGGAAAAATAATGAAATTTATGCAAGTTAAAACTAATTTTTTAGCATTTTATTCTCATGTTAAGTTTCTTCGTAATTATGTGAATGGTGTTATAAGAAAACAAACGAGCAAAAACAGGGAACAGTTGGCGAGAATCCAAATTCTATTCTCTGACGATAATGAGTTGTGGATAAGATCGGTAACGTTGAAGAATCTTTCAGTTTCTTCCGCATTGGGATTTAATTTCTTTCTCGACATTGTTTATTCATCTAGAAAAATTACGAAAGGTGATTAAGAAAATCTATAGAACTGTTTAGAATACTTATTTAAATTAAAAGGTACTGTAGCGTATTACGTATTTATAGCATGTAATCAAAATGATGTATTTTACAATAAAAATAGGTTATAGGCGTTGTAGTAAAGAATAAAAATTTGATGTAATTCTTAAACACTGTTTATTCTTCGATTCTGAATTCAGACGTAATATTAGCTCGACAACTGAGAGAGGGAAGATGCATAAAAATATTGTTCCTGATATTGATACAGAAATTTTCATTTTATTTAATATGATGTGTATTGTTTTTAATGCTTCCCTTCAGTACGAGTTATTAAACTTCGTTTAAACAATAAATTTAATATAAAGCAATTTTTTAAAAAAAAATAAGATTTATGCTTTGTATGGAAGTTGTTCTAAAGATTGAATTTTATGCAATGTGTTTCTTAAAGCTGTATTCTGCCGAAATGCAAAATATAATTGAGAATATCTTATTTCTCACCTTTCGTGACATAATAGTAATTACGAGCTTAATTAAATTAGTTAAAATTATCATATCATAATGAATATTATTTAATATTAGTATCCACGTTAATTTTTTGAGAATTGTTTCGGAGAGGAGAGAGATTCATTTTAGGATATTTCGTGTTCAGGAGGATGGCATTAAGAAAGCACTTTTTTTAATAAAAAGCCATGTTTGCTTTTGTTATTGAATTAAATAAATAAGAGACACAAATATATTCGGAGCACCATGGAAAATTTTAAAACTATGACAAATAGTGGATTCAGCTATATGGCAGTGAAGCCCATTTTGTCACGCCTTCATTCGTAGCTGTGTCATGCTTTTATTCGTATTCATTTCTCGAAATGCTGATGTAAAATGCTCAGATTATCATTTTGTTTAAGACTTTGTTATAGACCCTGTTAAAATTTTGCAGGGTGTCCAAAATTAATCGTAATACCACCATTTTGTGCCAGAGTTAAAAGCAGCAGGCATCCAAGTAGTTTATGGTATTTGAGTATGTTTATGGTGTTTGAATTTCTTTCAAATCGGAAGTGCTTTGGAAGAATCCGATTCATTCATCATCTTTCTGTGGGCAGGAATGCTATCGCACTTTCCTGCTACTGTTCAAGATTTGCTAAACATGTCTTTGCCTTAGCGGAAGATTGGACGGAAAAGCTCTATTCCTCCCTTGGACCTCGCGAAGCTTAAAAATTTTCCTAATATTTTTCTTTTGGGAGTATGAGGAAACAAACTCACAATGAGAAAATTCAAAAAATTTTTTTATCTTGAGAACGAGAATCGTCACAGCAACTGCTGGCATTAACTCCAAATGTTTCGCTTCCAGAGTGGACTTAGAAGTTACTACCTCTGGCAGTTGCTACTTCTAGAGTGGAAGTTTTTGTGCTACTAATGATAAACACACGAAAAAAATCGTAATGCACTTCAGAATATGTTATTTAATAACTGCAATGAAAATATTGCCAAATATTTATAATTGCATAAACTAACAACGAATCTCACCATTATTTTTCGAACGCTGTATGCAGATTTTTATATGCAGACTCATTATTATCCTATATTTGTTTAATCAAGATTCCAAAACTTTTTACACTGTCATGAAACTCATTATTTGTTTTGTAGAGTTGGATAATTAAAATGAATCTTTCTTTTAACTATTTATTTAGCTAAAAAAGATTACGGATGGAAATATTCAGAGCTCTTAAGAGTTTGGTTTCCAGCGAATGGACGAGTTTTTCACAATTTATTATCGAGTCTAAAGTTTTTAGATGTTTTACGTGAGTTTTTCACACTTAAATCGTGTTTTCGATCATCAAAATTCTTTAAACTAAGTAAAAATTATGAAAAAGATGCATATCAGAAGCTGTTTCAGGTATTCTTTTTCTTAATGCCAAATTAGGATACAGATTTATTTATTGTTGCATATTTCTTCTCAGTTAATAAAAGAGAAATTATACCATGACAATGTCGCATAGAGAAAAATTCTATCCTTTTAGATGGCGTAGAGGAACGTAATACATAGAGGAAACATAGAAGAAATTCTGCATCTTTTTAGATGCAGAGTTTCCTCTACTAAATTTATCTCTCACTCTCTCTCTCTCTTCACGTAGATATTAGTTTCATGAGGTTTGGAAAGCTCATACGGCTTAAAATTCGTTGTAATAAACGTTAATAAGGTATTTCTCTCACCTTCTTAGCATGCCTTCGTGATCTAGTGGTCAGCATGCTCAGCGCGTATTCGAGAGGTCCGTGGTTCGAGGCCCGGCGAGGCCATTGCCATTTTTTATGTCTCCTGCTTCGAAATAACCTAATGTCTCTACAGTGGCGTTTGAACTAAAAAAGGTGATGGATGAACATTCACCACCACCAGGATTGGCGATTGAGTCCCCTAAACTCTTCGTGGTGTAGTGGTCAGCACCCTCGACGTGTATTCGAGAGGTCCGTGGTTCGAGCACCGGCGAGGGCATTGCTCATTTTTCACGTCTTCTGCTTTCAGAAAATACCTAATATCTCTACAACGCGATTTAAAAAGACACTTATATTTAAAGTAAAGAATTTATCCAATAAAGATTCGAGATATGTCTGCTTTCGTAGAGCATTTTTAAGGGAACTATTTTCCCCCTTGTTAGATGTGGGGAAAGTGGGAACCTCTAAAAGCTGTAAGGTCGAACCATGCATCCGAACGCACACCGAACCCGAGAACACCTACCCTACTGTTCAGTGGTCTTATCTTGCTTTCGACACAATACCGTAAGGTTTATTTGAAATACTCATTTTATAAGCTGTAAGTTTGATGATAAGTTGTTAATGTTATAAAATATTGAATTTATTTTCATGAATTAGCGTATATCACTATATTTTGAAATATAGCCGTTAATTGCTGCAGTGACTTGATGCATTAAATTCAGCTACTTCAGCTGAAAAAAACTCACGAAACTAAAACTTGTCAAGATGATGAATATTATGCATATCGTAATTTATCGTATTTTTATTATATTTGCATGCAAAGAAGAAAATTTCGACTTGGGATGTCATTAGAACCGAGACTAACACCGCTACTAAATCTTAGCTTCAATAAAACCCATTATTACATAATAATCACGGTGCTGAAGAAGTCATGTTTTCCGTTTATTTCAGTGTTTAGATCAAGCGCTGTAAAATAAAATTTCCCGAGACCTAGTATTTTTGTCGCAAAGTTGACACCAATCGATCAAAAGTTGGACAGATTCCCAGAGGAAACGAAATTGTTAACACGGTTAAACGAGCGCTATGATATTTTTCCGTTGATAGATTATTTTTGTTTCTTCCTCGGCCTCATTACGCAATTATTTGCTACTATATTATCTGCCGCTCTTCGGAACCGCGTAATTAGATAGGCACCTGTTAGTAAAAAAAAAAAAAAAAAAAAAAAAAAAAACTGGTTTAATACGCGGTAAAACTATCCCGAGGAAACTTTTTTTGTAAAGATCAAAATTAATTGCAGGTTGGGAAGAAAATTTCCAGTAAGCAACTCACTTAACTTTCATAATCAGTGTCGTCATAATGATTACGCATAGCATATTCAATTAGAGCTGTTAAACTATTGGTTTTCTTGAGAGTACTTACTTTTATATGTGGTTATTTTTCGAGCTGCTCGCCGTATTGGCTTCATGTCTCTTTCAATGAGCATTGTTTCGGGATACTTTGAGGCATATTTACCAAAACTACCACTTTTGTGCTCGCAAAACGTGTTCGAAAACTTTGCCTATTATTAGATTTTTAATTAGTTAATTAATTTTAATAATAATTAATTTTGCCCATTATTAGTCCAAAGGGGCTTTGTCCCCGAGGGACTATTGTTTTCGTTTTGCGATTTTGCTTCGAATCACTCGGAATGGTAGTCCTTACCTGACTCTTATTTTCGTAATAGTTGGTCGTAAACATATACATTAACTTACATAAATGTTTTAAATGACGAGAATATTCCTGTTTTGAGAATTTCAATTAAAAAAAAGTTTTGTACAAATAACGAAATTAATGCTTTTTAAGCCGCTTTTAATGCGGTCTCATGGTTCGTATATTTATAATCGTGAAAGTTTTATACTCATTATGAAAAAATAAAAGTACAAGACTCTCGTGCTGAGATAAATTGACCGAGATATATAATTTCAAAATTTGCAGTTTTTGACGTCATTTTCATCTTGCTTAAGGTATCGATTAATTAAGTTAAAACAATTCGAGGAAATTTGTTTAAATGAAGTACAGCAAAAAATCGGCTTAATTGAATAGACGAACAAGGAAGTCATGTGGTGTCCACATTCAGATTTTTTTTTTTTTTTTTTTTTACTTGATTAGTTTCACGATACGCTGTATGATCAGAACTCTTCAGAGTTTTCTGTAGTACTTAATTTCTCCTGGTTGTAAATATTTTATTTGTAAAATAAAGAGAT